AGAAGTATTTCGCCTCGCGGCGTTCCTGCGAAAACATAGTGATATCGTACAAAGGACATTTTCCTGCGGATAACGAGTCCCTTAGAGAGTCATTACTCTTTGTGGGATTTTATTCTACAATTATTTACAGCACACCGAATCACGAAAGACACTATTACCTGAGCCGGAAATCTAGCGGCGGTGTCACTAGGAACTGCCCTTCAAAATCTTTGACATTTCAGAGCGAACTCTATCTACGTCTCTCAAACAAGGCAAAATGTTTGTATTTTAAATCAGGTCGAGCTTTGAGGGTAAAAATAGCTAATGGAGCGAGAAAACCATCTGCCGTGGTATCGTGCCACGAAAAGTCGCGATAAGACCTTTCGCATGGAAAACGTCACTCCGGAAGAACGCGACCACGGCGGCCTCTGAAATTAATTAGTAACATTAATTAATGAAATTTATCAACGCTTCATCCAGCTTCGAGGGAAGAGCTATCAATCGAGCGTGAAGCTCTGGGTCATCGATCCAATTAAAAATCACAAGATTATCAGTGTATTCGTGTGAAACCCCTTTGATCGGCGGAAGAGGAGTTCGGACGTAAATAATTCGCAAATCATTCGTTCGGACGTAAATAATTCGTTAATAATTCATAAAGACCTCCGTATTCATCCGGTATGGAATTTCCACCATCTATGTCGGTCTACGAGTGGAGAGTTAACTGCTTACCCCCCCAGAATTGGAAAATCGATCCCAATCGAATTTGTAAAAAAAAAATGTGTAAAAAACGAGGAAGGAAAGGAGAAACCACTTCAGCGATGGCCTGATCGTCGCGATTGAAAGTAAATCGAGTTACGATCGGATTAATCCGCTAGACGGATACGAGGCGGTCATTCCGCGCTCGATAAAACCCGCAAGTATAGTAAGATAGGCTTAATTCGATTTTAATCCGACCTCGAGTCACAGGAGCATATTCCTCATTGCCCCGAGGTACTTTCCAATCGAGCGAACTACGCACTTGGCGCGGAAATTATGAAAGGTGCGTCATCAATGACGATATTCGCCGTTTGGTTTTGAAAATTTGCATTTCGCGTCATTGGGAACAACTTTTCCCCCTTCTCCCTTTTCGGATAATTGTAATTCCTTCGCCCATCTGCCATTTATTCGAGCTAATGATGCTGTATTTAGTTTCTAGATTAATTTATGGATTATTAATATTTCTTGAGACTTGGTGATAGCGATTAGTCAGTAGATTCATTAAGTGCGTGTAGACAATGTTTGAGAATATGATTCTGAGATTTGGTTATTTGTTTTAGATATATCCTGTGTGGTTTGTCTCGTGCCATTTGTGGTAAAGGTATGACATGCACCAAAGGAGGGTATTAATTTCATTCTGATTTTTTCTTCAAGGGTTTATGCATAGTATTAACTCGCGATCGCGTTGACATTCGAGAAGTCTCCTGCGTGTTCTGTTACCTATGGAAAGTGGATCCAGTTATTAGTACCGTAATATAAGTAGAGTATATCAGCATAAGTGGAGGGTCCAGGTCGTTGTACGGTACATCCCTGATTCCTTTGTAGGAGACAATAAATGCAATTTGCATATCAGTCGTGACTAAGCGGGGCGAAGTCGCTAAACGTTGATATGGTCAGCGTTATCGATGACTATTTTAAATCGACTGGCGAAGATATGTGGACAAAATCATTGTTCCTAATGACATGATCCTGCTCCGAAAAAGTTGCAGAATTCCTTAAAGGAAAGGAAAAGAGAGGTCAGAACTCATAAATGGGGGAGAAAGAGGCAAAGTGACGAAGTCTTCTTCTGACTCTTCAAACTTTCCTAATTTCAATCTTGAGGAGTCCTAGAGGCTTGAAATTTTTCCGCAAATTTTTGAGTGGTAATCATTAACTATTCTTGATGCATCCACTTGACCACTGAAGACGTTGAAGAGCCCAGAATGCCAAATTCTCAGAGTTCTCGAAGAAGTAAGCATTTCGCAAGGTTAGAATGCGGAGCTTCGCCTAAATAAAGTCAGAAGTTCTCTCTTCTTCTTTTTTTCCTCAAGTCACACATAAAGGTAAAACGCTACCAAGAAATGGAAACCACTTGTTCGAACTTTTTAAAACTCCATGGCCTCTCTTCGGCGTCAACCTTGAGGAGTTAGACGTTCACGAGGACTTCGAGGTCCCCTTCTTCGGGTCTCAACGGATTTGTTTTTCAGGTTCCTCAGACCACCATCTCCATCTTACACACATATTTTCTTCATGGTTCATCTGCGATGAAGAACCTCGAAAAGTCTCATAATCGCGGAATCGAAAAGTAATCGTTATCTAATCATTTGCAGGCCTTGCACTTGGTGCACCAAGGAGTTGCGGAATGAATTCTCCGAATCCCTGAAGAAGGGCTAAAGACGTGTCCGACCATTTCAGCAACGTCAGAAATTACCTTGGCATGGAAAGAAGATACATCTTGCCGAAGAAAGGGATCTTCTTGAAGAAGTAGGGCGTGGAGTTACCTGAATCGGAAATCTCTCGATCGGGCAGGCGGGCGCACAGGTGAGCGGAAGTCTGGAGAGGAGTTCCCGGTTCCTGTGGGAGGACCAGGAAGAGGTCAATAGGACGAGAGGAGGCAGTTACGAGAATGCACGAGTCGAGTTATCGACTGGCAAGGCCGAGAGAGCCAAGCGAAGCGGCTCAACGATCAAGGTCGCGCTCGAGGGTCTTCCCGTTTTTGCTCTTTCTTGAAGCGGTGCAGTTCAGCTGCACCTGCAGTCATGAAATGCAACGAAGATCCCCTAACCCCCATGGGGAACCCCGAGCAACAATTAGTCCTCTCGTCCAGCGATCAGAAAATGGGACGATTTCATTCGGTTATGGGATTTCATCGCCAGAGTAATCTCGGCATAAAGAGGCCATTTGGTTTGGTGCATCAGAAATTGATGCACATGACCCTGGAAGGGGAATTTTCATCTAGGAATCGGTTTGCGCAGCTAGTGCACTGGCATAGCCTAGGATTATTGAGAAAATGTAGTTATTAATAATTATTTCATCCCAGATGCAATATCGCGAGGTGCATTCGCACGTGCATCGGAACTGCGCGGAGAGTGCATCCATCCGGAGCGCAACCTTGGACCGCTTGGGGTAGGTCATGGTGAAATTCTCGGAGACGCCTCGTAGGGGAGATAGGGAATATGAAAGGCTCTTTTTGGCAAGGCGCCCAGCAGGGGGGGGGGGGTTCCACCAGTTTTATACAAAATTTAAAAACAAGTGGAACAATTAGTATCCACATTTCACATTAGTTTTACATAATTCGAAAACGCGGTCGCGATCGACGAGCAGTCAAACTCGTGAAACCGTAGATCCATGTCATGATAAGGGGACGGGTAACTATTTGCTGGTAACGACTTCAAGGAGATACCAAGCACACTGACAATGAGTGTGAAATTACTTCGGTCACGTAACTCCACATAACTTCGTTCTTAATAACGGTAATCCCGTATCATGGCTGCAATTAAGCCGTACAATTGCATCCCTGAAAGTAATATCGGGCCATTAAGCGTGTCCCTTATCGAAGTACCCAGTGATAATTTTTGACCATTCGTCAACCGGTGCCATAAATTAGATCATGCCACTTTGAAGCCCCACTATCAGCGACGTTATCACCAAAACCTCCATGCACCTCGCGATAACCTGCCGACGACTACGTCTTCCCATTAACTTTCCACGGTGAATCATTGACATCATCCCACACCGATTGGTCATATGCGCTTTGATGTTGCCTTTTATCAACGATGAAACCCACTAACGCAAGAAACGTTCTTTTTGATAAGAGCACGGTCGCATCCCTTGTCATCTACTCTAGTCGCGGGGTATACCTTTTATCGTACCGCGTCGCGGGGTATATCTTTTATCGAAAATTCCTTATCATCGGTATCTGCCGAGTTCGCGGGTGCATCTAGTCTGGAGTGCATCCCTCCGGCGCGCGGCCTTGGGCCAATGGGGACAGGCCGCTGGGGCTCTCACCTGGTACTCACCGGCGATTCGTCGGCGAATCGGGAACCGGGAGACCCTTTCCTGAGGGAGCCGAGCTCGGCCTTTGCGGCGAGTGCAGCTTAGGGAGGATTATTGATGCACGCGACGCTGCGGAGCTCGCGCGACGCCGAGGCGAGGCGCATTGATACCAGAAAACTGGCGCGAGACTGCCGTCGCCGTCGACGCTGATAGCGCTCCGAGGCGCGCGACCGGGGAGGGGAATTTCGACGGCGGCGTCGCGACGCTACCAGCGCTCCCATTGGAGAGGAGAAAACGCGAGAAGTGAAAATGTGACCGATCGGCGGTAATGATAAAAGAAAAAAAAGAGGGTGAATTATCTAGAGGATGTTCCAGGGAAACTTTCTCTTTTTCAAAGAAGGATTTATAAATATGGACGATTATTTAATTGCGAGAGGATTGTTTTTTTTTTGCGGTTGATAAAGGAAGGAGAATTGGGAATAGTGGGATGTTTCAAGGGAGAAGGGCTTTGAAGGATTGGAAAGTGCGGTTTCGTTATCGGTTTTGGAAATTGGGGGCACGATGGAGGAGTTATCTACGCGGCGAAATTTCTGTCGCTAGGTGGTAAACCGCGTCGATAAGAGACGCACCGACTTGTGGTATTGAATGCTGACGGGTGAGGATGGTAAGGAGCAATGGAGATGAGGAAAATGTCGGTAAGGTGGGGGAGTTGGGGGTTTCGGGTTGGGGCGGATGTGTTAATGGATTTTGTGGTCGTAGATATTTTTAAGAATGGGGAGATGGAACATGGATCATTTTATGGGGATATTTTACTCGTTTTTAGTCGTGTCTTGTATGCGGTCGTGGGGTTATTTTTCGATTTTCTTTTGTTTTTCATATTTCTAAATGGCGATATTTTGCTAAGTTCGCGTTCTTGTCACAGGAGTGATAAGTTCTGACAGTAGCTTCGTAAAGTGTTGAAAAATTCTGTTGGCATATTTTTTTTTTTCTGGTAGAAAGAGAAAGAAAATGATGCGTTGCTGCCCACGAAATCCGGATCATTATGCATATCACGGCGATAATGTCACATTTGTCAATCTTAAGACGAAATACGATATCAACGAGGACCTAGCAGTGGATTATGTTCTTCACAACAACGTAAATAGAGTATGCAAAATATTTCTATGTATAGATCTATTCTTTCATGATTTTCCAGATCGTAACATCCACTCGAGATTGGATCGGAATTTTTCCAAGAGGGTGGACCAATCTTCAGCAATACTTAACTTTTGAATATGCATTTGACTGCGTGAAAAATGCAAACTTGTCCCAACGCAGCATTCTTTTCTTGAGCGCGTTTCTTCAGCAGGTTTTTCCAATATTTATGGACAAATAAACATATATAATTAGCTGCGGTGTAGAGTGATATAGAATATTTAATATTACAGGCATTACCGAATACCGAATACCAATTTGTTTATGTTAGCAAAAGCATTCAAGTTCTCGCGATGAGTTTTTACTTCAGATTTACATCGATCGGGAATTTTAATCAAGATTTACGAAATCAATCGACGTGCAAGGCGGATGTGAGTGCGTATCATTCCTTTTCGATACTTATGTCAATGAACCTATGTCGGAGAATTTGTCGAAAGGGGATAATTAATGTAATGGGTTAAATTAAAATTTTTGGAAATTCGTTACAGAGAGTAACGAGCCCTACTGGATTTTCGCCATATATTGCAGTTTCAGACCATATTCTGCAAAAAACAGATAACTTTGCAACAAGCTCAGTTGCTGGGACAAAGTCAATTCCCAGGAACACGTTACTACAAAAAATGGGATCTCAAAAAATCTGTCAATACTGTCGAATGCCAACGGTGCATTATATATAATAATTAAGGATTTTTTTTCTTCCATTCATCTATAATATTCATATTATTAAATTCGCTGTTACAATTATCAGGTTCGTTTTCTGATCTCGCACAACAATTGTTTGGTCGGACGAATCGGCAGATTAGAACGAGATTTGGGAATTGCTGAGGAAGTTGTGAAGCATGCCAAAATGGCACGGAGTAATCTTTGGAATCGTCTTCAGGCATACGAGGCTTTTGTTGCCGAGATGTTGAGGTCATTGATTGTTAAAGGAATGGTTAAAATAACCGACCAGTCAGGAAAGGAGGTCCGATTTCAACAAATCAGGAAGTTTTTACGGTTTATTTTTAGAAATGACAATTCCCTAATTTGCAGATGATTCTTCGACGAGTCGACTCTAAAAAAATTGATAGCGATTGTTCGATGACGAGAGGGAAGAAAAGTGACGAGAAAACTTCCTCTCGGGAACGTGAATTGGAGACTGTTATCGAGGAACAGAAAATCATGATAGATAAATTGGAAAAAGAAAGGGACCGATATCATTCTCTGCTGAAAACCTATAAAAATGTATCCCTGTGTTTATTAACCCGATGTAGTAATTATTAATTTATTAAGTTACTAAAATTCAAAGAATAACACTGTTTCAGAGTTCAGACAAGTTATCGCATCTCGAGAAGAAGATAGTCAATAGTTTGAAAAGTCAAGAGTCCGTTACCAATGATTTATTCACCGTGAAGGAATTTAACAGTCACATTTTTCACTCAGAGGAGACAAACGTACAATGTGCAAGTGTTGCCGAGAGAAAATCACAGTCTGTACTCTCTGCTGAAAAGTATATTTTACTTCCCTTAATAATACTCATCTTAAATCCCTTAATAATATTCATCTTAAAGATACTATTTGTTAATTAATTTATTGCAGGATTAATGGCACCGTGAATGATGAACCAAGAAATGATTTGAATTACGGATGCGAAGAGAAAGCTGACAATGATGCCTTGAAGAATGATGTACCTTCTGCAGTAATTGCAGATTTGAATAATGCAAATTGGGAAGTTGTAAACGAAGATCGCAACCCTTTATCAGACGCCGAAGATGACACATCCAAGATAGCAAATTGTTTGCTCACCGCAGCAGGAATATTGCTCCAAGAAAATGTGTAAACTAAAGAGACCAAGGAGTCTACTAGCAATATTTCCGATGATCCAAGTCCGCATGTAAAAATATCTGGAATCGTTATACAAAGTGGCGACTTGAAGTTCATCATTGTGCGGTATTATGAAATTACTCATTTTAACAAAAATCCTATAAACTTTATAATTTTAAGACGACATAAAAATAAGATACTCCTTTTCAGGTACTTGGGATCCGCTGAAGGAAGCAGCATGGATTTTTAAGCAACCCTTTTACGTGTGTGCCCATTCGTTCTTTTGTAACGTTATTTCTAATTGTGAATTCGATGTTTCTGTCAAATTGTGCGTATTTATTTTTTCTGTGAGGCGTCTATGGAGTAGGTACAGGTAAGCGTTCCGATTTTGATATCCTGACGCAGATTGCGTCACAGGTCGTGCAGCGCCGGTGACGAGGGGCTAAATTTTCCTATGACTATGAAATTTCCCTTTATTGAGACGGTAGAGGACCCACCCTGGCATCTTCGCACTCGATATTGGTGCTTTGGTTTCCTCGAACACTTCGGCAAACCGACTAAAAATACATTCCGAGTAACCTCCCGCCCGACGTCCAACGCGCGTTCGTTGCGCCCGTTCTATTCGGAGTTCCGCTGGACAATATAATGGCCACAACGGAACTTCCGGGTGTTTTTTTCAAAAACCTGACACGTAGAAGAAGTCCAAATGAGTCATCTGCGCTCAAAAGATGTTGCCCCACGAGCGATTTATTTCCGGAAATAATAGGATTTCACGAATGAAGTGCTCGTCTCAGGATACTTTCGACCATAAGTCATAAATCCGAATTTCCCGATTTTCTATTAAGGACGCATTTATTTTCGCCGTCTAACTTAAGACACCTTCCGTCCCAGTTGTCTTTAACCTTAAACATGCGATTTAATTTCGTCACTTTGCTGGCGCCACAAAGGAGACGAGAGGCGAAGACCTCGAAAGAATGCACCCCTTGCACTTTGTTTAAAATTCCCGGATCAACGATTCGTTCTCATTCCTTCTCCCCCATCCGCTCCAAAAAACACGGCATTAAATTTACAGAAAAAAATTCTTTCAGCTTCGGAATTACATTTGTTAAGCAATGTATGGCTCCCAGTGCCGCTCATTCTATTGACCGAGACTGAACGATTGTGTTCATTGATTTCTTGGAAGGGTTCTTCGAAAGCTCGATCTAGACGACATAATCGTCATCTATGACGAGGATACCTACGATGAAACCTAGCATTTTCGCGAATTGTCGAGATCTAAAAGCCAGCCAGCCAGAGTTAGGTCTCGCACCCCTCTCCTTTGGTAGCTGGGTACCGAAGTTATATTTTTAGTGGCAGCTTATGCGAGAACTTGGACTTAAGCCAGCAAGTGTCCCCGTGGCTTGCCGAGCCGCAGAACACGATCTGATCTCCACACTTCGACAACTACGTAAGTCCAACATATTGTCATTATTAATTAATCCCCCCCAAAAATGCTCGGAATTTTCTAAAGATAACCACCCTCGAAGACCTGACGAAATTCCCGGTGTAATGTGTTGTGAGGATATTTTTCCCAGTTAACCAAAGCAAAGAAACGTAAATAAAGATGACAGCGTTCGGGAAGAACGCATAAGATTAAAGCCTCCCGAAGTATTAAATTAATTTAACGCTATTAAATTAATTTAACAGCGTGGGCAAGGGAGGGACGAGTTTCGCGAGGCTTAACGCTTGAAAATTAACAATCACTTTTTTTCTGCTAAGGGTGAGGAAGTAAATGTAGAAAGAAAATGTTTTTCAACGGTTACTTCGCGGATGGATATTTTGCGTTGGATCGGTTGATCGAGGGGGAGATTTTTTTAAAAATATTTCGACGGATTTTTGTTCCCGGAAAACGCTTTTTGGAAATGACAAATTCGGATGTTTACTGCCGAGCGTTGGCGAGAATTAATGGCGCATGGCGTGCTTCTGAATCGCGAGATTCGTCGCAGGAGGATTTCACGTGTCGCAAACAATTCGTTTCGGACTAAAGGACTATTCCGAACGTCGAGTAGTGTTTAATGGAATTTCATTTGTCGTATTATTTTCATCTAGTAACTTTCCCTGTATTTTTGGAAAGAAAACACATTTTGAGGAAAGTTCGTTTCAAGTATCGAGTTGAATCTGGGGCAACTGGAAAATATTTGATTTCGATCTACCGACGCATTTCCTTGTTCTTTGACTCTCGGCAGAATTTCCCAAGATGTTTACCCGGTGTTCCTGATTAATTATAATTAAACCCTCGATCGAGGGTACAGGTCGGGGTGCGGATCCTACAAGGGCGCTAAAGTAGGAAATCGGAGCACGTGCTACTGGCTCTACGAACTCGTGTACGAATCCCGAAATAAACGGCAGCCGTTCTTGCGATGTCTTCTATTTTTACTATTTGGATCGTTGTTTAAGATTCGACAGACATCTCGATGCGCGGCACGTGCTCGAGCTTAATAGCTGTTAGACCACCATCCAAAAAGTCATGAAGGAACACTTGGAGAGGTACAAGAGACCCGAGGGTATAATCATGTTCCGCAGGATGTTAATGTTCAAATTCGGTTGTAACTGGCAGATTTTCAAGATACACGGAAGCCTACCCGCCAATTACCTTACAACAAATGTGATCACATCTGTACCGCAAAACACTTAAAGTGACCGGTTCTCGACATTTTCTCGGGATTAGATCTGCCGAGAAATTCTTATTCACGGTTAATTCATTTAATTTCCACCTTCAGAGCGGAAATAAACTATTAGATTCTTTCCTCCAGAAAAGAATCACTCGACGCCGAAATCGACCGGTTGTTTAACCGAAGTTCCAGAGCGAAACGCGCAAAATTTTCGAGGGACACGAGTTGGGGGAATCGAGGCGAAAGCATGGGAACCGGTGGCAGTTTGCCGACGAATATGAGCATAGAACCTCCCCCGTTACCGCCACCCTTTCTTGGGGTGAATCAAAGGTCGGAAGGTCCGAGGTCTTCGGGTACTTCGGAAGACTCTTCGGCAAGGACGCCGAGTCGAGCCAGTGTCGCCACTTTCAGCGGACCTCACTCTCAGGTTCGTCCTAATAAATAAAAATGTATATAATAATAAAATATCTGTCGATATTCCCGGGTCAACGATCCGCAAAAGGTCTGCACATTTGACCGGAAACGTCATAACCATAATTAACTCGGTGATATTTTCCTCAAGCTACTTCTGCGACTATTTAAATGTAACAATTAAAATTAACCTCGTGCAGTATAACGTCTCGATTTTCCCCATGGTTCGAAGGCCAATAAAATCTACTTTTAAATACCGAAAGTTAAAATTACTCTGCAATTTGGGTTGCTTTATGTTTTTTTTTTTTTTCTTAAGGGTCCAAGCCCATATGCAACTCTGAGGGGAGAGGAGTGGTGGCAGCAGAGACCTTCAGCTCCGAGTCTTGCGAATCTTCAGAGCCAGCAAGAGACCTTGGTGAGTTCGGTGACTCTTTAGAAGCAGTCTTTCTGGGGATGAAACGAGACCTGAAATAAAGGCTCAAAGGAATTCCCGGAGGAGCTTGACCGGATTAATTGAAGTTTTCATCGGAGGCTAAGAGAGGCTTCATCTTCTTTTTCGGGAATCAATGGTCTAGAATGAAATCAGCTCAACTTAAAATGGAATAAGTAGTCCATCGGCGTTCTTCATTTATTTATTTCGCATTGCAAGAATTACTTCCTCTCGGTTTCTTAATGGGGAACTTTGGCATCTCCTTTTTCCCCGAGTTCCTTAAATCTGTCGCGGTTGGAACGGGTTCCAGGGAAAAAGCCGAAAGAAGCAGCCGGATAAGTTATGGCTGAATTAACTCGGGTAGGAGGGCCCAGACGAATCTTTTTTCCCGGAATGATAGACTTGGTACCATCTTCGAAACCGACATATGTAGTCTGGCCCGGTTCCAAAATTGCCTTCCCCGTGGTTCCGGAGAACACGCTGAGTCAGAGTGAAAACGGCGTTCCGAAAGTCATCAGCATCGATCCTGAAATCACGTGTTGGCTACCAACTGTTGTTTGGCAAAGCCTCAGCTTTCCTGGGAGGTTTTCCAGACGTAGTGCGCAGTGGTACCTCGGCTCCCGAAGAACAAAGAACTAACAAAGGAGCTAGTGAAAATCTCGGTCTCCTCTTCAGTCGAGTTTCGCATCTCTTCAGAGACAGTCGCGTCGAAGATCCACCCGTGATTACTCTCCTTCATTTCTTTTTAAACACCTTCGAACCTGCAGAAAGCTTCGCGTCTCTTCTAAAACGGGTACACGTGAATAATTAGATTTTACAGTTGCCCTTTATTGTTTTTCCCGGTTCTAAAAATTCCTCGTGACATCATTTCTGTTTTATTATTTTATTTTATGGACGGCTTGTTAGGTTTTCTTTTTTTATTCCCTTTTCAGTCTGTTTTTAATGTTTCTTTTACAGTTGACATACGCAGCACAGATGACAGGCTGGCAGGCGAGTGGGGGACCAGGTCCTTCGACGGTTCCTCAGGATGCAGGGGACTTTTCGAGGACGGTGTCATATTTGGCAATGGCGAATCAGCAATTGGCTTCTGCCCACAACACGGTCCTGGCCCACCTTGAAGCCCTTTACTCCGAGTTAAGGAGAGACAGGGATCTTAAAGAAGATCCTTCCTCCCAAGGGACCCTGGAGAAAAACTCTCAGAAGAGGGTCGAAGAAACAGACGAAAACAGGGAACTGAAGCTGCATATTGGAAGACTGGAAGCCTCGATTGCTGAGAACACAAGGTTCTTCCAGACCCAGCAATCTCTTCAGCGCGACGAGGAGAAGAAACTTCGTGGCCAGGTCGAAAGGTTGGAGGCCTTGCTAGCCTCGAAGAACGAGGAGATCTACACGATCAGAGGAAGATCGCAGGGGGCTAGCAGACTTGATGAAGAGAAAAGAGAGCTGAAGAGACGTTTGGATGCCATGGAATGTTCCTTGGCCAGGAGACACGTCGAGATGTCCGAGGAGGGAAAAGAGAAGGAACGCCTGAGGAACCGGATATGCGAATTGGAGAACATTTTGGTAGCTAGGAACTCGAAGAAGGTGTCCGGTTCCAGTGAAGGCGCCTCTTCGGACAGGATGAAAGAAGACTACCAAAAAGCTCTTGCCAAAATCGAGGACCTGGAAGCCAAGTTGAGAGTGACTAGGCATGGAGGATCATCCGCTGAAGACGATCCTGGCAACGAATATAGGAAAGCTGTCAACAGGATTCAGGCACTGGAAGAAGAACTCGATTCTGTCAGACAAAAAGGACTGAGGAGGAAGCGTGATGATGGCACGAGTAGGATTTTGGGGCTGGATATTAAAGTAGAAAATGTGGGAGCAGATAAAGCAGAGTCGATCTCCAATTTGGATGGGTCCAATGGGGAAGAGATAGCCAGGTTGCTGGGTGAGATCGAGAAGCTGAAGATAGATAAGTCGGAGTCTTGGGAAGTGAACAAGAAGCTGAAGAAGGACTTGGAAGGACAGAAGAAGATGATCGACAAGCTGAAGGAGGACTACAAGGTACATAAAATTCATGAATAAATCGCCAATAATGGATGGGTTGTTTAAATTGCATTTCTTTAATGTGTATATTTAAATTCTTTCAGGTTTCAAAGACTCAATATGAAAAGGTTGAGCGTAGCCTGAACGAGAGGAAGGAGCAGTTCAATAAGCTGCTCGAGGACTTCGATCTCGCTAAGCAGGAAACTGTGAGACTGTTAAAGGAGTTAGATGCATTCCATCTAGAGAAGGATACTGCCAATGCCAGGATATCAAATTTAGAGCAGGACCTGCAGAATTCCTTGCTGGAAAAGGAGCACATCAGGAGCGTGGAGAGCCAGAAGAGCTCGCAATTGCGCGTACAGTTGTCCGAGGAGGTTTCGGACAAGAAGAAGCAAGTGAAGGCCCTCGAAGATGCGTTGGAAGAGATCCAAAGACTGAAGAGTACCATAAAAGCCGGGAAGAAAGTGAATTCCGATCCAGAGGACGAACCTGTAGCGGTGACTGGTAAGCTGTCCTATTCTTCCTATCAAACGATATAAGATATAAAAATTAAATAAACAACTCTCAATACACATTTCAAGCAGAATTATGTATCCAGGAAAAATTGAAATGAACCGATTAATATGATGAAATCATTCGAGTAATGGATTTTCCAAATTTTGTAGAAGAACCTTCCATTCCCGAGCCTATCGTCGAGGCAGCGGGAGATTCGGCAGGGAATTCCAGTGGAACTAGTATGGAGGAATTCAAGAAGGAATTAACCCTTAAAAGGGAAGCAAGGCAGCGAGCAATCGCAGCCGTGTCTTCCGAAATGGAACGACTCAGACGCGAGTTGGATGCCGAGAAGGAAGCACATTCCGAAACCTCCAGGATTCTGGAGTTGCTCAGGTCTGGACAAACGAAAGCGAATGTCGAAAACGAGGGCGCAGGTAAAGCGGAAAATTCTGAAGAGAAGGTCGACAACATGGAAGATAATGGAAGATTGAAGGAGGAATTGAAATTGGAGAAGGACTCGCACGAGGAGACGGCGAAGCGAATGGAAGCTCAAAGACTGACAGACACGTTGAAGGTAAATTGACCTTGACATTAAGTATGCAGGATTGCAGGTTTAACTTTAAAATAATTCTAGGCTTTGGGTGATTTAAAAGATTCTGAAATTCTGATGGTTGATAGGTCTCGGACGAGCTGAAGAATAACATGCGTCTTCAGACCGAGAAGGTGGACGACCTGCGGTACCAACTCGAAAGCGATGCCGACCAACATCGACACAGAATCGAATCTTTGCAAGAGTTGGCTAGAACGAGTCGAGAAGCCTTGAAGGTCCGCGAACGACAAGTGAATAAATTGAAAGACCTTTTGGCGCAGATCTTGGCCAGGCTTGGGGACAGGAGCTTTTTGGAGATTTCTGACGATGTTCGAGCCGAGTACGATCATCAGCTGGAGAACATAAGAGGGCTTAAAGCTCTTTACGAGGCGCGATTGAAGGTGATCACCGAGTTGAAGGACAGTTCCACGAAAGAGCTCATTGAAGCCAAGGAGAAATTGGAGGGTTTGAAGAAGAGGAACGAGTGTCTGGAGGAGGACCTGAAAAAAGCTGACGAAAAGGTGACGGGAGAATCAAATAAGCTGTACTTCACGTGGACATACATTGCAAAATAAATATGTACAAATAATTATGCATAATATGGATATTATTACAGATAGACGCTCAGGACACGGAAATCTCGAATTTGGAGTCCCAGCTGGGGTTGACCAAAGCAGACTGCAGAGATCTGCAAAATCAAATGTCTGTGATAAACAGTCTCTTTACGCAAATGTTACTTAGCGCATCATCTGCAGACATGGACTTGGACAGGTTGACTCGATTGCTGCAGGTGAAAATTTAAACAGATCCATATATTTTTTTAGAGCGTTTTGTCATTTATTTCTGATATCTCGACCAAATTAAATTTTAGGAAAATCACGATCTGATCAGCGACATGGCACGGGAAGAAGGTACCGAAGCTGCCGCATTACCGAAACTCCTTCTCGATCTTGTTGAACAAGTCGAAGGCCGCAACAAGGCTCACAGTTCCGGCATTGACGGCGAAAAAAGAGAGGACGACCTTCAGGAAGAAAATATTGCGCACAATTTACCTAAGGTTTGGTTTAGTTTACTTTCCCATTTCTAATTACAGTTATGGTAAAGAAACAAAAACGAGGAAAAGCGAAGGGAACGAAAAAAAATATTATTGGTAGGTGTGGCGCGTGTTGCTGGAATTGCTGAGCTGTCACGCAGTCGGCGCTCCAACGACTTCGGTAGCTTCTTCGTCTGCTCCTGATAGCTGCTACAAGTCCGTGGACACTCCGACAGGTCCCAGGCTGGTGATATCGGTCAGCAAGACTTACATAAGACTGAAGGAACTGATCCTGGAAAAGAAGTCCCTGGAGAAGGAAATGAACAGGATGAAGCAATTGAACAATCATTTGGAGAGTAAACTTGGAGAACAGGTAAAATTGATCGAGCCGCATTGATTATAAATTAATATGTTGGTTAATTCTGTGGGTATCCCGAATAGGAGAAAAGGCTGTCCATGGTGTCCGATGAGTTGAGCAAGACGTGGAACATTGTGGGAAGAATGCAGGCCCAGCATCAGCAGCTGCACACCCACGAGAAGATTCTCAGATACGAGCTGCAGCAGAAGCGGAAGATGCTGCAAGAGCTGAAGCAAGAGTTGGAATATTGCCGAGAAAAATGGGAGTCGGCTAGGCAAAAGAATACAAATACTGAAATTGAATGGCGCAGTCTTCGCAGGGAATTCGCAGCGAGAAAGGCAATCGCCTCTCACGATTCCTTCAACAATAGGTAAACGATAAGATCGGGAATTTGCAGTTAAACGAATTGGAATTGTACTCAACTATTTTTTCTCCCTTAACAGCGGAGAGAGTGGCTTTAGCGATGAACGAGGAGACGATTCGGATGAAGAGGATGAAGCCGTTGAAGAGAGGTTAAGGATTAGTCCTCGCAGAAGGGCCAGGAAGGTAAAATCTGATTTAATTCTGTGAACAAAATTGTATATTTTGGATTTTCTTTTTTAAACAATTGACGATTGTTAATAGGAGAGTCCAAGAGCGCCAACTCCTGACACGGAGTCCGAACAACCGACTGATACCGAATTGTCAGAATCAAAGACAGGTTCTTCGATAACTCTGGAACAGAGAACCCCAACGCCAGAAACGGAAACCGAGGTGGATGCAGAAATTATTGATGTAGATCCTGCGGTGGAGTCAGATCCTGTTAGTCCTACATCTGCGGATGTAAGTGTAAATTTATTAAAATGTTGTGTGTGTTTTTTTTAAACATTACTTATTTCAGGCCAACGAAGAAACTGAGTCCATGGATCCCCTGGACCAGGCTCTGACCAATGTCATCCAGAACCTCATTAGGATAGACAGCAACCCCTCCGTTGCTACAACTTCTACTTCCAGGGACGCCTTACAGATTGTAACATCCACTACGAGGGAGCCATCTACACCTGGTAGAAGTAAGGCACCGACTTTGAAGAAGAGGAACTTGAAGAAGAACATTAAAGACCGCTGTGCATACAATGAACCCTGGCAACCTCGAGTCACGGATTTCAACGCTGCTGAGACCTCAGAACTTTCCGAAGTTTCACAAGAGGGAGGATTAGAAGACGAAGAAGTGAAACCGTCTTCTGGAAATGATGCTCCGAGCCAGGTGGAGACATCAGGTGCAGCTTTGCACTCTGAGACTAAAGTTGATGGAAAGACCGCTAATGTTTCTATACTATCAGCGACTCCTGTGGAAGAGAGCGCTCTTCAGGAAGTGACTTCGCCAGAGGGTGGTAAATTTGAAAGCGCCGTTGAAGAAGAGAAAGACCTAGATGGTGAGAAACGTCTCGTGAATGAAGAACCTTCCATGTCATCTGTTTCACCTGTGTCGTCCGTGTCACCTGTGCCACCCGGACTGTCCGTGTTCACCATAGGACCCTCTCCCTCCATTAAGTCATCTCTACCCCTGAAAAGCGTGCAGTTCAGCGACCCCCTCGTAATGGGACCTTCTAATCAAATTCTAACTTCAGTTTTCGGGCCGCCTTCGTCAATTGGTCGCCATGATCTGGGAGAGTCGCGAAATCACCCCTTCAGCCTTAGAGGAGATGACGAAAGCGTTGCTGAAGAGGCTGACGACAATCGGCAGGAGAAGAGGTCTGTCAGAATAAACTCGGACGTCGCCGAGATTGACAATCCGTCCCCGGAATCGTCCTCCAGCGTAGAGACTGTTAAGGAGTTTCCGATAAGGAGGAAGAAACTCCCGGAAGAGTCTTCAGGGTCTTCGAACATCGACCCATCATCCGAGGCCAAAATAAATTCACCAAAGCCGGACCTCGTTGGTGAATCAACATCAATTTTAACGTTAGAAGTTCCTGAAGTGACCGACGTGTCCAAAGAAGGGAAGCCCAAGACTCTGGAGCCTTGTTCATCAACATTCGAACAGAGACCTTCCACTTCATCGTCTACCTCTGATCCTAAACCTGTGCGCAGCCATGAAGAAGTTCTCGCTGCACGAGCTGCGAGGTTGAAGCGTTTGGAGGAACAAGCCGACTGGTTGATGAAGAAAATGAACGCCACTAGTCAGAGAGGATCCGCTCTCAGTACAAGGCTTGAAGAGCTTCATGAAGTTTATGGAGAACCTCCAACCCCTCCACCCCTACCGGACATTTTGCCTTCCGTCAGACTGGAAACCGATCTCCCTATTAATCAGGTAACTCTTACAATGTTTTTCTAATTCTACATATTTTTAAATATTACTAAAAAAAATCCATTCGCACCTTTCTTAAGCTTGATTAGCCGTTGTGATAGATTATTCGTTATAAATAATTTTTCAAGGTATCGGAAACTCCGAATCTAGAAGTCACGGAGAAGCCACCTCCGAACGATGCACCCTGAAGTTTTTGGATCGTTTAATCGCTTTTGGATGTACCTATGAGGGATGAAGAGTGAGATTGAAATTTCTGAGGATCTCACCTCGAGGAAGCGGATAGGATGTCCGGAAAGGAGCTTCGTTTGTCCTCCAGGAGTTTCGTTTTCCTTCGACTGACTTTCGAGCCCTTTCATGAAGTCAGTCTTCGAATTCTCTCGGACATTTGTTCATTTGATGATATTTACGCTAATGGTGAAATTACTGCACGACTTTGTATAGTATTCATCATTCTGTCCGCGACTTCGTCGGGGCAGATATGACGTTAAAAGACTTACGAACATTTAATTATTTTTCACGCCCGAAAGGCAGTTTTAAAATGTAAGATAGGCGTTCTCGAGTATTCGTAGATCGAGCGATTCGCGACAAATATTGATAAGAGAAGATCGATTTTTGTGAGCGCTCCGTGTACGTGAATTTAGTTCTCCTCGATTTCATTCTCGTATTGCAATTCTCAATTATCGAGAAATGACTTTTTTTCTTGGATTAATTCCTCAGGGTATAGTAATTGTTAAAGAGAAAAGAGGTGATCGTTCCTTTAAAGCGGGCGCTAACGATTCCACGATTTTTAGCAAGCGGTGGGGTACGTCGACGTCCTATTACTCTAATTAAAAATAAAAAGTAACGTTTAAGTGGATTTTTCTCTAAAAGGTGAAGAACAAGACGACTGGAACGAGGGGGTACATTTAGTGGGATTGGTATCATTTATTTTTCAAATAGTCAACCATCTGGCGCAGTGAATATGTTCACTTCTCAAGAGTCTCCGCGCTCCTCGTCCGCCGAAACGTAGAATACATTATATGAGATATGTATAGTATTCACAAGATTTCTATCAGATTTCCACGTCAATAATAAAATTCGTACAAAATGATTTGTATAACAAAAACAGCTAGGTACGCTATGTTCCTAAATACCTAGCACCCTCCACGGATTCCCTAAAGTAATAAAGTATCAAAGTCAACGAGTGCGCGCGTGATCGTCAGTCGAAATCGAGATCACCAGCGAAAGTCATTAAACTTCTCGTTTTTAGGATTAGGACGCACCTCATCTTTTTTTTTTTACACAATTTTTGTGGGGGATGCTCGATCTACGTACAGTCCTTCCTCTATCTACATAATCAATTACGATCTAGTATTGGCCATTTGTATCAGTTGAAAGTTTACCTCTAGTCCCTCTCGAGCCCTACGAATCTCGTCGCCGCACGATCCTGATCAGAGATCCTGAAGGACCCTCAAGGATCCTCTAGTCCAGTTACAATGTAAAGCCTTTAAAAAATGCATATCTTCCGCATATCACAGGGTACACCGCGTGCACTCGCAGCTGAGGCTGAACTTGTAAAAATTTGGTCCTTAGATATACTAAAAAGGGGAAGTAAGAAATAGATCATGCAACCGGGCGTCCGGTCCCACCGGCGACGATCGTCTTCAGGCACATCACCTACAAAGTAGAGTTAAAAAGATGATTATCGGCCGCCAGACGAATCTGGAAACTCGGCCGGGACGGGCACAAGGTCCCACGCATCTCTCCGCCAGTCCAAGGCACTGCAATTCCGAGTCTAAGTTACAATAAATAAAGTTACCGAGGCACGTGTGTTCCTTACTGGTCTATCTCTCTGCAGGCACTTCGAGTATAACAAATAGAGACATCAAAAATACAGACGAGGGGTCCCATTTCGGAAGTGATATAGTTATGCAGTTATTACGCTTGAGCACCCGAGCTGGTACCACGCCGGTACCAGGATCGTCGGTTTGGTCCTAATCTACATTCCCGTCCTTAACGTACTCATGCAACGCAGAGACAATCTCATCTCAGGTTTCACTGTATCATCTGGAGGTATCTGTTCTCCTCCAGGAGAGAGCTGAGCGAAGAGGTCATGTCGTTGACGACCATGTTGGCACTTGCTGGAAGTGGCTGAGGCAGAGACATGGGATGAGTAGAGCTGGAGACGTTGGTCTCGTGGAGTTGAGCATTGCCGGACCAGTTCCTGCACTGCTGGACGTACTCCAAGGTCCTTCTATAAGAGTCCTGCCTCATCCCCTGGGGCGGCTTTACCGGGGAGCCCTGCTGGGACTGACTGATGTCCCTGCACTGGATCTCCGGCATGTTGGGGCCATGGTTACGGTAGCACTGCTCGGAGTTGTAGCCCCACTGGCAATTGCAGGTGAACTGATTGGGGCTGGGCTGAGCCTGGCACCCGTGGGCACAAGCCTGAGATCTGCAGCTGGTCTGGCATAGCTGCGTCATGCCCTTCGGTACCGTGGAATTGGGGCTGTTCTGGTTCCCGTTCGGATGGGGACAAGTCGCCATCTGGGGACACTGCATGCCTAATTGCCCCGGAGGGGCCTGAGGGCTGGAGTTCGTCGCGGGCTTCTGACTGACTATGTTGGCCATGTTCACCTGGGGACAGTGGGCCGTCATCTGGGAGCAGTGGCCCGGGGCTTGGTTGGTTTGATTGGGACCAGGGACGTTTGACACCCCTGGACCGTTCTGCATCCCCAGCACGCGGTGGTGGTTCGTCTGGTCTGCCCCACTTGCATGGTTTGCGTGCATCTGCTGGGTGCACTGATTTGTCGCCGTCCGTCCACATTGAGGTCCATTGTGGGTAGCAGGGTTCTGATTGGGCATTGCCGGCTGGGAACAGCGAGGTGACAGCTGGGGACAGTTGGACACGGGGCGCATCTGCGTGCACGGTTGACCCGCTGCGTGACTGGGAGTGCAGGGTTGGTTAGGATGTGCCGACTGGGCGCAGTTAACGTTCACCTGACCCTGGCATCCATAACCTGGGTGGTACCCATGTGGAAGGTGGTTCTGCACACAGTTGCGAGTCATCTGGGCGGAGGTCTGCTGGGGATTCTGGGGACCGTGCTGCGGAGCGAGTGCGCCGGCAGCTGGGGACGTCATCGGCTGGTCGCTCGCATGGCTGGGGGCGTAGTGGGAGCCAGGTGACATTACCTGGCCCGGAGACATCACCTGGCCAGCTGGACTGGCCATTTGAGAGCCGCAGGATTGAGGTCCGTAGTTCTGGGGTGGACAGTAGCCAGACGCTTGACTCATGCGCGAACTGGGGCACTGGGAGTACGCTGGTGACGCCGTCTGGTAGTTGGTACAGTTCTGCTGGGAGCTGGGCTGCGGATAACAGTTCTGCTGGTGGGCCTGGGTGTAATTGCAGTGAGACTGCTGTCGCTGATAGTGCGCCGGGTTTGTGCAGATCGGGGACTGGCATATCGGTAGAGGACTTCCTCGATACCCTACCTGGTTGCCGCCAGTTTGAACCTGGAACCAATAGATGTCTAAGATTGGCATTCCCTCTAAAAATGGTACACCTATCATCCTGTATTATACACGGAATGCAATCTAAACTGTGGATATTCTCATCCTCGGCTTACCTGATTCAGGTACTGCATCATTTCGTCCGGGATGACCAGCTTGTTCTCCACCATCTCGCCTTCTCCCACCTCATCGAGGGCCACTTCCTGGTTGGGGTGTAGTTCGGGAAGCTGGGCAGACCTAGGTCTAGGCGGCATAGGTGGGGAGGTCCGCTGTGCCTGATGACCCTGAGCTGGCTCGGACATTCGCCGATCTCCTGCTGCGATTTGGGGACAGTGTCCGCTTGGCGTCCAGTCACCAGGCATGCCCTGCACTCCCTGAAATGGACATTTGGTTAGGGATCGGTCTCCTCCGTCGCTTGTTAACGATTCGAGCAACACTCCATCCTGTGCCGTGTCATAGTCTCGCGTTAATACCCACCTGAAGGGACATGTTCTGGGTCTGCACCACCAGATTGCTGGTGGAGTACGGCCCCTGCAAGTGTCCAGGAGGGTTGATCCTGCCGGAGGTGGTGCTCATTTGACTGCTCCTCCTGGAGGTCCCAGGACTGATGGGGTCGTAGAAGCTCCCGGGACCGGCAGGACCCATCCTGACGGCGCTGACCCCACTGGCCTGGCTGCTTCTCCTGCTTCCAAAGTCCGCGGACCTCATGCTACCGTAATATGTACTGACGGTGCTGTTGCTGTCCCTCCGAGGCTCGCTCAGCGGCTGCAGCCTCAGCTGCAGGTCCGACAGGCTGGTCTGCCTGGTTCCACCTTCCATCTTGAGGTCGGTGATCCTCCTGTTCAGGTCGCCGATGTTACCCTGAGGTATCACGCCTCGACTACCTCTCATGCCGCCCATTCCCACCGCCAACGTCGGCATCGCTTTTGCGTTCAGTCTTCCCTTCAGGCGATTCCTCGAAGGCGCAGGTGCCTGTTGCGATTCCATCCCGCCGACCTTGAAGTGGAAAACCAAGTATTAATTAAATTGACCAGAGGAAAGGGCTTAGTTGGTAAGTTGGAGAAGCGTTAAGAAACGTCAAGGGGTTAACCAAGTCCAGCAGGTCTACCGGGTCTACCCGATGACCTACCATCCTGGGAACGTACCATCGCGCGCAGGGCAACCGGGAGATCGGCGATGTCGAGGTCATCCGGCTCCTCGTTCCAGGGTTCCTCGGAGAGCGCGATGCCGTCCGTGGTGACACCACCGACTCCACTGACCTCGTCCGTGCACCCTCCACCTAGAGGACTACCCTGTTGCTGCATCATGCTGGGCGGACTGTTGGTCTCGCTCTCTGACTTCACGCTTGGACTCGACAGACTGGGGGTCTTCGGGTGAAGATCTTCGCTTCTGCTGGGACTGTGACCTCCTGCACCAGCTTCGTCGCTTCCACCACCGTCGCCACTTCCTCCCTTGTGCTTCTTGTTCGCGTAGAACTCCGCTCCGTGGACCGTCTTCACGTGCTTCCTCAGGGACGATGGGTCGGTGTACCTCTTGGTGCAGCCGGGCGCCTTGCACACGTACGGTTTCTAGAAATATTCAGGATTGGTCAACTGAATTGTCAAAATTCATCATCAGTTGATAGTTGATGAGAGGGCTTTTAGGTACCTCGTTCGAGTGCGTCCTGTTCTGATGTTTCGCCCTGTCGCTGGCGTTGCTGAAGGCCTTGCTGCACCCTGGGTACTCGCAGGTGTACGGCTTTTCCCCGGTGTGCGACCTCAGATGAGTCTTCAGGTTCTCCAGTCTCGAGTACGCCTTGAAGCACCCTTCGAACTGACAGAGAATCGCCGGTAAATCTCACAAATTGACACCTTTACTACATCTCATAGAAAATAAGCGATGAGACTCACGGTACACTTATGCGGTTTTTCGCCCGTGTGCCTCCTCATGTGCACCACCAGCATGTACTGAGCTTTGAACGGCTTTTCCTTCCTCGAGCAGTCCTCCCAGCCGCAGACGAAGCTCTTCTTGTTCGCGTGGATGTGGTCGTTGTTGATGTGCTTCACGAGGTCGTCCTAAATGACGAAACGATATCGATTTTATTAAATTTATTAATCACGGTTGAATAATTTATCCATTTCGGGCAATTCAAAGGGATGGATCCTCACCTGGGTTGGAAACTCCAGACCGCAGTCCCGCCAGTGGCAATTGGTCTCGATGAAATCACCGGGTTCATCTCTGAGGTCCTCGTTGGGACTGTTTCCCTGAGGATGGCTGGGAGGGGCCGAGGTCGCCGGGACAGCTGCAGCTGCCGTGGTCGTGGTGGTGGTCGCGGGTTCCCTCTTAACCTTCGTCGACGGCCTTCTTGACGAGGTGTCGGCTTCGGCCGCTATGGACCTGTTCGACGTCTCCACGGTCTTTCTGCACGAGTCGGCGCTCTGCTGAGAAATACCAGGACCGTTTAACTTCTTCTTCTCTCGGCAAACGCTCCAACTGGGAGTTGGATCCGAGGTCAAGCACCGATTCGGACGCACGCGATGCCGCGATTATTGCGTATCGAATGGTTGGACGTTTCGGTGCATCATTGCCGTGCACTGCAGCTGATCATAGATCCTCGTTCTTGGGGATACACGACCCGGACGCGAGGCGCATCCCACGGTAAGGCTTGTCGCAATTAAAGTCGTCTACCCAGGAAACGTAACAAGGTTCGCCATTGATCGGGCAGCGCCTTGCCTGCACCTTCGATCCGGGTGGCACCTCGAAGGGCACCTACAAATCGTTCCGGGATTAATTCCAATTACCTTCCCACCTACCGACCGACCTACAAAGTGCTCGGAGCACCTCTTCGCCTTCGCTTTAGGACTCGCTCCATTTCCAGAGGATGATGTCGACCGTTTACGGTGCGTTACGTGGCGGTGGTCCTTAATGGGATCGATGGGGTTAGCACTCGTGGGTCTGCCGAATAGTTTACGGCGTGCAGACACAAGGTAGGACCAGGCCGACGAGGAAGCCGAGGTAAAAAAACGAGGACCGGCTCCGGCGCTTATTATAAATCGGCAAACCGCGGGGAAAGAGGCTGCGAAGGAGGCAGAAGGAGGCTGCCACCTCGGGGGAGAGCGAGAAAAAGAGGAAAAGTATCCGGCAAAGTACTGTGCGCGAGATTGGTTGGTAACCCGAGGACTCTATGGTAACTCGGTAACCCAATCCGGCCTTAGGGCCCTCAAAGGGACGGATCGCAGGGCAGGGGACCTCGGACCAATCAATAACCGACTACTGTGCAACTATCGACTCGAGAAATCCAACAATTGATTGAGCTCAATCCTGGCGGTCTCAGGGTTAGGCTTGCAGGTCGGTACCTCAATGGGCATTGCTTTCGATACGGGGGAAAGAGGGTGGCCGTGACTTCCGACGTTCCTGGGGAACCGATCCGTAGATGCTCGATTTTTTAACCGATACTTACGGCAGGACCTCTAAATTCACATGCAATGAAAAATTCCCTAGACACTTCTCTCTTCCTATACTTCATTACTATTTACATTACGTTAAAATTGAAATGAGAATAATACAAATAGAAAGAAATGCCGCCAAAAGTGTACCCAAAGTACATTTTGTGAGAGAATAATTATGAATATTTAGCGCCGATTTATATGTAATCCTCTGTTTTAAGGGAAATTTCGAGGGGCTCTTCACTCGAAAATCAGTAAAAACGATTTCCCTCTTTGAGAACCGATTGCTTTTGATTTCGTATGGTAATTAATAATGCGATTCGGTGGTGCGACAGTCGGTCTTCTAATTGGAGCAATGTTTTGGTGATTTCCGGTGTTTGCGATTCCCAACTGATTTTCACGCGATTTCGAGTATGAAAATGAACATGTTTTTCTGAACAGCCCCTCGGGAAGTGTTTTCAAATTCGTTGGTTACCTCGCTTTTCGGGGGCAGTCCTCCATGGGGTCCCAGGGCTGCTGAGGCCGCAGAATGCGGCGGTACCGGAAATAGCTGAGAGTGCGGCCCCAGGCTGTGCGAATGTGGGTGCGAATGCGGATGCGGCGGGGGTGGCGGCTGCAGGGGATGTGCGTGAGGTAGGAGAGCCGCCGCCGCTGCACTTCGCAGAAGATGCGCCTGCAGCTGCTGCAGATGCGGCGCCATTCCCGGGTGCATACCCAGGGCGGGACTCATGGCTGAAAGGTCGGAGAAGAGTCCTTCGTTAGAAACTTTTTGTCTATTTAGCGGAGCCCTAGACGCCGCCCATTAAGATCGCCCCGACGCCTTCGCTCTCGAGGCGAGAAAGAATTAACGAGCCGTGCATGACGGAACCGTTGCACGGGAATGATCATCAGAAAAAGGCCCCAACCCTTTCTTTCGCTCCTCGCAAGAATCCAGGAACACGGGGTTTTTTTTGCAAAATTCATACATGGCCCACCTAGATCTTTTCCCTGCCGTCTATGTCGTCGGTATTGACGACTTCGGCTCGGGAAAACACGATTCTCTATGCGCCAGCACGTTTTAGTTATGCCAATTAGGTATTCAGAGTGCTTAATGAGACTAACGACTGATACGCGCGGTTCCCTGCGATAGTATTCAGGGAACGCAACTAGCTTCCGGTATGTCGGGTGGCGTTGCGTAACGATTGGCCGAATCAAATGATAGGAACGAGCGATGCGTGCTAATCGGCTCGCGTTACGGTTAATCGTACGGGGAAAAAAAAAAGAGAAGAGAAAATTACTCCCGTCGTGTGTATTCATTTTAAAAGTTACGCCGACTCGTAAACTAGTGTTAAAGAAAATATACAGCGAGGCAGTGGAATTCGTTTAGCGATGTCACCTGACCGATTTCGCTCTCCGAAGCAAAACCTCATAAGGTACCCCACATATTCACGCCACGTATCAAAACTCTCGTGACGGAGCTCCGAATAACAACGACGCGTCGTCGAATGCTCTACCCTGACCTAACGGAACCTGGTTTGTCCATCCACCTCCACCTGAAAATCAACCTGCAATTTTGATACCTATTTCACCTCCGAGTCTAGGTGCGCTATCCGGAAGGCGAAGAGCGGACACGCGACGCCCACTCTTCTTCGGGTTGCGAAACGCACACCGAGTTTACGCTACTTGTTATGACTGGATCATCCACTGCCAATATGGTTATCTTCTGCATACGTTACGTGAGGAGCCATCGAATGCACGAGCGGACGTCTCTAGACATGATTTCACTCGAGGTGTTGGATAAAAGAAAAGGAAATATTTCCGTCATGGCGGGCCCGAAGAGATCGCATCCAAGGGGCTTCCTCTTCCAGGTGGAATTCAAGGCTTCAGGAATTGCTGCCTTGGAATTGCCGGCATGTAGCCAGGCTGGGCATCCACGTTTTACGATCGACGACGCGGTCTGCGAGCAGAGTGCAGGAAAAGACGGGAAAAGATTGTTGCAAGGGTAATTGGTGTACCAGCAACGGCTCCCGATTCGTCCCGTTGCTGGATACCTTGCTCGTTAACACGAGTTGTGGAACGAGCGCGAGTTATCAGCGACATGGAAATCGTGACCGAGATATCCTGGATACTTGGGCGCGGCGTGTAAGGATAATTAGTCCTTTACGCATTTCAGTGTAAGGAAGTCGAATGGCTCCACGAGATGCGCCGTTAATACGGTTTAATCGTTTGGATTTTACTTGGGCTGTTTCTTAATTAATACACGTTTTTATACGATTTTTATACAATTTTTATAGGATACCTAAGTTCTATCGGAGTCCAATTCAGGGCTCATGAAGAGAGAAACAACCTAGCCAGTACTTGCGGCACATTACCGAGAGTAATGGCTCGCGATATGGACTACAGGAAAGTATGCGGTAATCGTCTTTACGAGGTGGTAAGACGGAATTATTGCCAAGAACAAGAGTTGGTCGTATTAAATATTTCTTTTTATTTATCTTCATTATCACTCGGGGTAATTTATTTCCGAGGTGCCTGACGGATTACGTACAGGGAAGGACAGGGCATTATCGGCGTTATCCTTATCGTCCTGTGTTTACGTGGGATCGTAATTTGAGCGTTGATGATATTAATGCATTTTTCATTAAACTATGTATCTGAATTAATAGAAATTATTCCCGCGGCGTTCGGCACGCCACGTACATATATAGGACAGGGCGTTATCCTTATCACCCGCGTTTACGTGGGATCGTAATTTAAGCACCGCCTCGTTCCTCCGGATTAAGAAAAGAAGCTCGGCTGATTATTGCCTCATACCGGCAATCCGCGGATAAATAAGTAAATAATCGGTCCGAGGAACCCGTTTAATGAAACGGTAGGGTGTGCTGCGTTGTACAGGTGCAGCACGTACGTTTGCGTACGTACGGTAGCCGTAAGTACGCACGAACGCTCGCAGTTGCGTGTCTATGGACGTTTAGCGATTAGCGCTGGATCGTCAGCCTCTCATCTCGAAACCGCGAATTATTACCGCCAGCCGAGTTTATCCTTACAAGGTGAGGAGGCGTCACCCGACGAGAGGTTAGAATGCGATCAACCATCGGGATCCTCCCCAGGATCCATGATGGATGACGGATCGGAAGGAGCCAGGGGATGCAACCGCATCGCTGGAGACCCAGAAATTGCACGTTGCAAAAGTAAACCAAAGTTCAACGAGATTCCAGGAATGATCCGCGGAGAAAGTGTGTACGGAGGGTAACCGTTAATTTTGGAGAACCCGAAGAGCTCCTACGTGGACGTCGAGTCGAAGAGGACGATCCCGATCGCTCGTATCCTCAAGAGAAGTGCCTCGGCAGGGCGAAGCGGCGCATCGGAAGAAATGTGCACGTGAGATTTCCTTCCGTGCAGTTCGCCGGGAGATGCAGCTGCATCCTAGTGGAATCCTAATTAAATATGCCTAGGGTTGGATGTCACGCGATGCCGGCAGGACCCGGAGGCGGACACCTACGATCTTCCTTCCGAACGGAGTGGAGCTCATCGGGGTCAAGACCCTGTCGAGAGGAGGAACAACCGGGTCTGTCTGCTCGACCTGACGAATGCTCCTCGCCAGCTCCGAGAGGCGTTCGCCTGCTCCACCGGTCTTCCTTTCTTCGGCATCGCTCCATGCCTCGCATTATCGCGTCTTCCAGATATCAGCTCGGACGCCACGACCAGGAAGTGCGTCCGATCCGACTGGATCCTGACATTAAGACATCCCCGGGACATCGAGATGGACGTCGAGGCCTGGAAATCCGCCCCGAAGTCAATCCGCGTAAAGAAACTCTCTTCGGCACCAAGCAATTTAGCGGAGTTTCGCGACAAATGCATTTACGGCCCCATTGCGTTTTTAGAAACGCGTAAGGAAAAATCGTTAGACAAAAGGTGAAAAATTTCACACGCTTCCTGCCTCGCATTAGTGCGTTTTCTGGATATCAGCTCGGACACCAGAACCAGGAAGCGTCCCCGATGTGATTCCATTCCAGTATTAAGACATCTCCAGGACATAGCGTCGAATGTCGAGACTCGGAGGTGTGTCCTGAAGACCATTCGCGGAAAGAAACCAGGTCGTAGCCGAGGTCAGGACCCGATGATCTCGTCCGGCTCCATCGAGTCGACCCGAGGACCTTTTCGGCTCCCGCGGCGCTTCTGCACTTATATATCCCGTGGGGTAATATCCCCTATCCCGTAGGATAAGATACATCTAGGACATCTCATCAAATACCACGTTTTATGGATATTGCCGCCAGTAGATAACTAGAAAATGATCCCGAAGAGATCGCGAGGCGCCGTCGCCTCTCCGGGCTTTATCGAGTCGTTAACGACCGAATATCAGTTTCCAGGATTCCAGGGCGAGATTAAACTACCCCGGCTCGTTTCTCTCAGTAAATTAAAGTCACGGGTCGCGTTAATGCTCACTCGGCTATGATTTACGTCTCTCTATGGTTGTAAAATTCCCTGGGTTGGGAAAAAATTCCCCTCCGCGGTTTTACCTAACACTTCAGGGTGGAGGGGTACTCGAAACCATCGACACTCTGGACTTTCAGGACTCTGACTACCGCCTGATCGTCTTCAGGGTGGAGGCTCGGAGCTGCACTCCGGACTTTGATGGCGCATCCCCCAGGGCGACCCAAACGAGCGACAACATCCCCGGGGCACCCGATCTCGCCGACAAACGACCGCGGTACACGCCACTTGAATTTAAATCCACTAATTACTTCATTTAATCGCAAATTACCGGCCGCGGGACTCCGGGTGCTCCGATTCGCTGGACGGCAGTAATGGCTTCACGCGGATCGGCCTTAATTCGCCGTTTCGCCTTTAATAACGCGACCGAGTGTCTTGGTACCCACGTCAACATCAACATTCTACGCATGCCGCCTGCCTCAGAGCGCGCCTCGATACTTAATTTGGCAGCAAAACTTGGCCGAGCTAAATTAAGACGATTATTGTTTATTTTGACAGAGCCGCGGCTACCGGACAGCGCGCGAGTAATGGAGAAAAATCAGAACGAGGAGGAACGAAGTTCCTCCAGAAGGGGAACTCGTCCTGAGAGAAGACCAGGATATTACTCCCCGGGATGCTGTCTCTTTAAATTGCGGGAATTAATTCGACCCATCCACAATTGGACATGCGGCAATTAAATTACTTCCATTAAACAGAAATATGGGAGGTCACATCCCTCTTGCCTCATTTCTTCTCGGGGTAATGTCGCTTATCGTCCCGCGGGTGTTCTCCAAGTTTCGCTCCGAATGCGTATCTGCGGTTATTGTAAAAGCGGTGGCTTTTGACGACCTTCCAGACATGGATGCAATTTTGTATTCTTCTCTCATTTTTTTTTTTATTATTTATTTATAGACCGAGCGCGGGATTTATTTCGTTCGTTTCATCTGTTGGACTTTCAAAGATGTCCTGGGGGAATCGCATAGTTAGTAGTCGACTCACCGGCAGAGAGATGACCGTAACTTCCACTGGCGCTGCTACTTCTGGAGCCATTGACGATGGAAGCCAGGCTGTTGGGGCTGAAGCGGATCATGCTGTCGATGTCGAAGCGATCCGAGTATGGCGAGCTGCTGAGAGCTCGCTTCCGGCTCGCCCTGATCGCCGATGCCGAAGCCCGTGGACTTCCTAGCCTCGAGGATGCTGAAACGCCAATTATCGACATCGTCAATCTCTCTCTCCTCCTGCCGCACAAATCAGGGTTTGGGTACCGAGACAACGAGCCAAGAACATGAACGAGAGAAAGGGATCATTGGATATGGACTTCGAAATTGGTCGAGCTTTGACCACGTGCTGAAGGGATACGAGGTCTTCCCCAGGATATTAGGACTCCTCGCGAGGAACAATTCCCTGATTTCATCGATTAAATCGAGTGCATTTCCCCCCTCTTTCGTGAACATTGAATACTGGCGTCTTAATTCGTTCTACGGCACTTTGACGGCATGCAGAGGGGATACAAGGTGTTCTTCAGGGACTTAGCCTCAGGATATTGGGACTCTTAAAATAATTTCAGGGTTTCATCGATTAACTGAAGGGCCTGATTTAGCGTATTATTTTCTCACGCCGTCGAGGATGTTGAATATTAGGTGTCTCGGTTCGTTCTAAAAAAGCGTCAACGCCGGTCCGGGAGTCCTCCAGCGACAGGCTCAAGTGGCGTTCTTCGGGGTTGAGTAGCGGCTCCTCCGTCGGGCTCGAAAAGGAAGAAGAGTCCTGCGGCCTGAGCGTTTTCGCGGCGTTTGCCTCCGACCGCAGGCCAACGACGTAATATACAAACCACTTTCTTAAGGACGGAGGTGCGCTCGGCGGCGAATACGGTGGTTAGGTCGGGGTGTGTTGGTGCACTCGAATGCGCTCAAATATACTCGAATACTCGAGGAGTCGATACACGGAGGCGGACTCCTCCGATCCTCGGCGTTTCCACTCGGTTGGTCGTTCTTTACACCGTACGGCGAGTATAGGGTTACTCGCGGCGATGGCTCTCGCCTTCTCTCCTCTCCCAGTTTCCACGCGCTCTCTCCCTCCCCTCTGCCCCGGATGCGGCCGTCTCCGTCTCCCTTTTTACCCGGGCCTTTCGTCGCTCGTTTAATTCGGGCAGTGATCAAATTTGCGGCGGTCGCCGCTCGTTACCGGACAAGCGGTACCCCGCGCTCCTTTTTTGCGCCAATAAGAATGCCGACCATAACCTATACCGGTGCCAGGGCAAGCTCGAATAGGCTTTCGATGGACTTCGCGGAGACGTGGTGAGCACGTAGATGGGGGGCGCCCGCGTGTGCGTGCGCCGGGGCACGCACAAGAATTCGCGTATGCAGACGCATCGGGAGCGCCTCCACCCGGAAACTTCGGGCTGGTGGCTTCACTGCCTGCAGATCGAACTTTAACCCTTTCGTCACCTTCGACGAGGTATATCGCGATTCGACATTGATCATTTTAATTTTTTTACCGAGACATCTCGCGCCAATACCGGATTTTTTTTAACGATTCGACGGGATATCTCGCTAATGCATTAAATGGCTGGGTCGAGATATCTCGTTCTGGATGAAAGGCTTAATTATCAATGAAAATTCTCATCCGTGTTAATCATTTGAGAATTGTATCTATTTATGTAATCTACCATGAGAACACTTATGATGATTTATAGGTCTCTTCGTCCCACGTATAGTACCTCTTATGAATTACTCCCGACCGAAAAGTGCTCCAAAATGTCTCGAAAATTCCACGTTCTTCAGGTCCAGAATTTTTCTCTACATCTTTGTCTTTTTTTTAGTATTTTTATTTGTAAGTCCACTTCCTGAGCCTCCTTGAAAATGTCTCTATTGACGTAATCGGGTGCTTCGATCTCCCTCACGAACCATGCTCGTATGACTCCTTGGTACCAAGTCCAAGTACCCCAGCCCTGAGGAGAAAGAGACCTACTTTGCCCGTGGCACGCTGCGCGTTTCCACTTAGCTGGTTACTCGCGTAATCCCCTCGACGTAAACGCATTCCTCGGGGATACAGGGAACCAGTTGAACACCCAGCCGACTCCACGACTGCAGGGGAGTTCTCCAGCTGGAAGTGTCCAGCCGCATAGCTGAAGTCGTTCCGCGGGGGATCGCGATCGCGGTTGTTTACAGGGAAAAAGTTCATGATGTATTAACTATTCCTCGCTCTCGAGTTGTTTCCGATGCCAATACCTGCTGCCAATGCTTGCTGCCAATATCCTTAGCCGATACCGCCGATATACCCCGGATACCTCGCGTGTCCGGTACATTTTACCCGGCGTTTCAGACAGCCCCAGTCAATGCAACAAATTGATCGCAGCCCAGAGCCAACTTATTGCCACGCTCGATAGAACGCGGTAACGTACGGTAACTGCTGTGCATTACGGATGTAAAGAGGTCGATGTTACACGCGAGGGCGCTACTCGGGAGATCAGCTGATCGCGAAACGTCGCCGCGAGCTTCGAAGCCTTCGACGACTGTCGGTCAGGAATGAAGTTCAACTTTCCAGGGTGGAGGCGATTGAACTATTTCGATGAATAAATCTTGGTATCTATGTTGCCCCTTCGATGTCATTTTTAGCCGCGTAATTATATTTCATATGGTGATGTTTCATTTGAAATTTCTAATGGGTCGGATCGATTTACTCGGCCTGAGGATTTCACTGCACAGGAGGGGCTGAATTCGGGCGCATTCTTCGGGGAACGACGAAACGGGCTTTCGGGAGCAGGGAGAGAAGCTATTGGGCTTCCAGGGGTTATCTTATCGAAACGGCGGAGAGTTAGTCCCGATGTCGCGGTCTTTAATGAATATGCGAAACGATGGCCGCTCCTGACCCGCTGGCCCTACACGTTCGGTAAGCGGTAGCCTCGCGGAGCGAACATGGGATTGAGACATGTAAATTGGTGCAATCGGCCACTCCGATCGGTGCACCGCGCCGCTGCATCGCCGACTTGCATGCCGCGATGCTACAGGCCCTTACAACTCGGCCGGGATCTTTTCAAACCGACCTCGAGAAGGGAACCTCCGCTTTCGCGACACTCCAAGACATTCCCAATCGAACCACTAAACAGGGAAATAATTAAATAATTCAATATCCCTCAGTACTCTTCCCTAGGAATACGGAGATGCGTTCCACTAGATCGAGTAAAAAATTCCCCATTGGTGTTGGATGCAGAAAATTAGACGAAAATTCCAATCTACTCCGAAAATGACTTTTTATTTTCTTGCAAGCTAGCAGGGTCCAGTTCGTTTTTGGTGAGATTGGTATGTTTTTTGTGAATTAAATATCGAGCCGGGTATTCTATCGGAAGACGGAGGGCGGCCATCGTGGGTGGAAGAGGAGCGAGGCAGAGGAGGCTGAGTCGAGGTAGAAGAAGGAACGTGAGACAACCTGTAGGGAAGGCGCTAAGGTGTTAATGAGGTCGTGTCGCTCCGAGTCGATTCAATTATGCGGCGGTGGCGGCTAACGAGGCCCCGTTTACCCTTTCAGTCGTCTTTTAGTCTCTCCGCCTTTTAACCGGCCGATCTCCTCTACCTGCTGCCTCGAGGCCGATCTACGCGTTACCCTGCACCAGGATGCTGCAGCTGCGGATCGGTGCACCCTCCTCTTGGGCAGCGACATTGAAAAGTTGGGGACCATGCCTCAGAAGTGGAGAACACGCGCAGTGGTGGGCGAAAAAATTAAAAACTACATTTTTAACCGCTAACTGGTGATAATTGCCGACACTTAACGGTCGCTTTTAGTCAGTTTTGTTGTTTAAAATTTGGTTATTAATTTTTGTAGATTTTTTTTTCGGCTGCGTGGTCTGCTCAGTCGCCGCAGTCCGCGTCGACATCGAAAGCAAGAATCATCCGAAGGAAGTGGGACGAGATCGGCCCTGCCTTCGTCTTTACGGTCTGCAATCCGAGAAAGCGAGGATCATCGTCGTGTCTTCATCTTTGCGGTTCGTGGCCACGCCGACGAGAGTGAAACTCCTCTTTGAGAACAAGTGCAATTGGCGTCGATTCCCTCCTCCAGGTTTACGTCGGCATAAAAGCGTAAATCATGACCGGCGATAAAAGTGATTGTCAGGATTGTCTTCGGTTGTGCAATTCGCGCCGGCGATGATAAAATCGGAAATCATTCTCGAGAGGGAGTCAATTGGCGTGTCTACCGCCGATTCTCTTCGCATTTCGTGTCAATACAATAAATCGTCGATCGTTTCTCAGAGGAAATTGAAACGTAACGGTCCGTTCTTTTATCCTTCTCCGTATTGATTATTAATTGCATTCAAATGCGCGTGGTTGATAACGTGTCATTTTTACGTTTTCTCTATTTCCTTCCGAATGGGGATGTGGACAATTACCGAGGATGGGAGAGGAAGAAAGGAGGGAGTATCGATTTACGGAAGCGTCTGAGAATCTTAACGCAACGATGTCCAGGGGCTTTCGAAACTAGGGGGAACGGGATCGAATGTCGGATTCCCTCCCCTGGATAAAAATTCCTCCCAGATCGGCGCAAGAATGTCTGGACCGCTCTGGAAACCATGGGGAAAAAAGACTCACCATCGATGGAAAACGGGAACTCCGAGGACGCGAGGGTGCTCGCGGGACCAGCCGCGTGCAGGAGGTATTCCGGTCCCAAGCCACCCAGCCCTGCAATTAACATTTTATTATTAACAATTCACACCTCCGTCCCACCTAATAACGGCACAACATACAATAAATCCATTAACAATACGTATAGAAATTATTTTATAATTAATTCCTCGATTTCTCCGCCCTTCGACATGCCCAACAGCGAAACTATGCGCGAGAAAAATCGAATATATGAATTAATTGTCAAAGAATCCCTTAAAATATTCTGTTTTCCCTTTCAAGCGTCACTTTTGTCGCGTTTTTGTATGTCATTTCCATTGTTAAGTCCACGTCCAGTATCGAGTACCGGGAATTCGAGGGGCCGAGTTTCCGCATCCCGCGCTGAAGAGGGAAATCGAGACCCGGAGGATTTCCTTCTGGATCTTAGAGATCCTAGGTAACCGAGCCATCTAGTACACAATACGTAGGGCCTGTAGGTACCAACAGGCGGTTGAAAGGGGCCCTTCCGCCGGAAATGCGGGCCTTTTCTGTTCGGGGGTCCTCGACAATGTGTTAAAAAATTGGAGGGTGTGCGTGGCGCGCATCGAAGTCTCCGCCGGGCCCGGCCGAGTAATCCGATAGGATTCTTCAAAAACTCTACCAGGAATCTGGCGGGCGCGTCTGCATTTTGTCGAACGCGAAACAGAACACTTTACGTCGGCCGCCGTCTCTCCGTCGCTCTTTATGTTTCTGCTTCATTATGCTCCTCTATCTGGACCGTCTCTCGGTCGGCCCTCAAAGTCGGTAAACGTCACGGAGGGATACTTACGGAGGATTTGTTGGGAAAGTACCGGGAGCGTGCTCGAGAGCCCGACTACCGCTCTACATATTTAATGCCTAACTTCACTATGGAGGAACCGTTCTGGAGAACGGAATCATCCTCGAGGTCCAATTACAACCAGGCGCAAACTATCGGTCTCTGTCGCGGTCGGCCGACTCGAGGCCGCTCAAAGCTGAGCCGCCATCTTGTTTTCACGGTAGCGTCCTCTGCAGACCCGTAATTCCCAATACTCGCGACTGTTCGTATTCCAAAAAAAAGGAAACAGATTTCATCCCTATTGACAGGATGAATTTCGATATCTTCACCTTCATAATTTTATCATTACTTGGAAATGGAAAACGCTTTTCATTGAGACATTGCGACGCGTCCGTCCGTCCTCGGGCGCGATCCACCCCATTTCCGGGCGCTCGTTAAGATGACCGCAATTAATGATCACGATCGATTATTACCGTGTAACGAGGCGTTGGGACTGTGCGTAGAGGCTTGGAGTTGATGGTAAAGGTGGTCCATGTAGTTGAGCCGATAGGCGGGGTGCAGGGGCGTATGCTCCGAGAGGGGGTGACTTCTCCGCAAGAAGTCTCCACCGGAAGTCCCGTTGCCGCCCCCGCCACCCCCTCCACCTCCGGTACCACCACCCCCGCCGTTTCCTCCAGGGCCACTTCCGATCGCCGTGGTGCTGCCGGACAACCTGAAAAATCCAAATTTCTATATTACACCCTGACTCCACGTGTCATTGTAATCGGTTGACACTTTTATCCATTGGTTGTTCGTGTTTGTTTGTACAAGCAGGTGAAGTGTGCACTCTCGAGACGAGTGGTCTAAATTAGACATTAGGGGGAACTACAGCTTGAAGAGGTGTCGCTCTTCGGGGGTAACAAATGTCTCCAGGATCCACCCCTAAATGACGAATGGCGTCGAGGTTCTCCCCTGAGTAACGAGCTGAGGAGCTTCCCTATACGTGGCCCGACCTTCTCAAGATTTAGAAGGCCGGGTAAAGGGGTTGCCTCAAGAGGGGGAGGGACCAGGGACACATTATGTGGTTCCGAGGGTGGTTTGGGATCCTGATTTAAAGGACTTTCACCGCAGGAAGGCGTTTCCACGCCTTCTGGAATCTCGTTAGCGGCTCTTCAAGAGCCCTCAACGGAAAGCCCAGACGTTTCCAACTTCCCTGTTTTCTACCTCATATGTTTTACTTGGCGTAAATCTAAAATCTCTATAAATCAGGAAATAATCAATAATAAATCGTTAGCCATGAATGCAATTTAATGGAATTCGTTGGGATTCAGAGAACGCGTCCTTTCGGATCCGTATTTCCGAAACCGACTTACAGGACTTTGTGAACACCTTCGAGGGGTTCTCCATGGGAAGTCGGTTGGATACATACAGGACCTTCTTAGAAATAGTAAAATTGAGCTAAAGTTCACATTCCATTCCCGATACCCGATTTTTCCCAGGGCCGGTCGAGGTCTTTGCTCGGCGAGAAAGGGAGGGAGAAAACCGAACGTGCCTCGCATCGGGTCGAACGATTTAGCACTTGGCGATTTATTGGTTCGTTCCGGAAGAACTGCCCCATTGTGGCAACAAAGAAACTTATCGTGACGTAGAAATGCCTAGGCGGATTTTTAAAGAAAGCCCCGTCAAAGCGGCGGAACGAATGACTTCGTTTCCTTGATAATTGCACGCGCACCATTGCTTAACCTTGCTTCCCAGAATCGTGAATCGGTTCAACAAATGCCCGCGAGAAGTGCCATTATCCTCGGGATATCCTTGCGGCGCACCTGGAATTCATTTTTTAACGTAACAATTCTTAAAAATTAATTTCCCAGTTAAAAGGATTAGATACTCATTCGGCAGGTAAGTGCTCATTAATAAGGTACAGGGGTGCAAGTGCCATTAATCGACGCGGCCATTAATCGCCTTCGAAGCAAACCGATTAATCTGCTATTTGTACTACAAAGTAAAGGACACGCACCTCCTTGGGCGAGTTTGCGGCAGTCCGAGGGGTTTCCTCGGCTGATGAGCATATCGGCGTCGTCCGAAATGAAGTATGAGGTGTTCGATGTGAAATATAAGAGGAAGAGGGAACAGGTTCTTCATGAACGAGTACCTGGCACAAGTGGGCTCGTATCATCCGACGAAAGAGGGCACTCCCGTAATGAGAGGGACTCCTGAGGGATGGCCGAGCGACACGCTCGAAACGAGGCTAAATAGCGCGCGTCGCGAAAACCGCGTCCTCGGATCGGCGGAGGTGCCTTCAAAGGTCCTCCCAAAGCGTCCCTTTAACGACGCCGGCGCCGCGACGCCCGGCCGACAAATCACAAAGGACGCCAGGTGGTTTGACATCTTTATTGGTCCATAAGCGACGGGCTCTGTGCGAGCGGCTTCTCGGAGAAGTGAGAACTCCGAAACAAGGGGCCGACGCGACGAAACCTCCAAGAAAAGTCCCCAGCGACCTCCGACGGACTTCGATAACTCCTCCAAGCGATAAAGTATTTCGGTAAGAGGAGGAAAATGACGAGGAAAAGGCGGAAAGTTCGAGGGAAAAATGGGAGGAATTATTATAGATTTTTAGAGGCTAGGAATGGAGACTTTCCCAGGGGAAGAGCGAGGGTGGAGGAGGTCCTGGATTTTCGATCTTACGAATTTTAGGGGTGGATGGGTCACAGGTGGGCGTCGATCCTTTCGAAGTTCCGATCGAAAGTGGCCCCTTCGGGCCCGGATTACATTGTTTGGCGGAGAAGGAGCCTGTTTGCCTTGAGCCTCCATCAAATATTGGCCGTGCCCCCTGCGAGTTTGCCGAGCAAAGCCAAACCCCGGCGGCGTGTTTGACTTTGCTCAGCGTCCACAGATCGGAGCTAACGAGCCCCTGGGACCTCGGAGGCGTTAATGTCCTCGAAAGAATCGGTAACGAGGGATGTTAATACCCACTATCGAGTGTTTACACCTGTATCTGCACTCCACCCCTCAACGCTACCTCCCGGCGTCGCGTCTCTCTTCGTCATCCTTGGACATAAATAACATTTCCAATTTCTTTGGCATGAAAGCTGAAAAATTGACAGTACCACGTTCTCACAGCATTAAAAACGTTATCAGGACATAATAATCTCGAGTCGACTGCTCGGTCCCGCCCAGCATCCCACCCGAACGTCTTCGCCTCGACGTCCTCGTCATCGGCGCCACATAAATAAACATTTTCAATTTCTATAGCATGAACGTTTTTAAAAAAAATTCCCACCTCAAGACCACGTCTTTTGTCAAGGCTCGCGTTATATCTTAGGCCGATAGGATTGGGATTGAAGCACCGAATTAAATATTTGACATCTCTGGTTGACACTTAAATCTCAGCAAAGTCCCTACGGCGCCGTCCCCGGTACCAGGCTCGCGTTTCCTTGACGAGTTTCGTTAATTGGCGAACATTAGGTCACGACAGAGGGCTCGCGTCTCCGGGCTCGGAGATCTCATGAGAAATAGCGCGATGCCCCATTTGGGCCTCGAAGGGGCATTAACAACGAAAAGTGGGCGAGACGGGCGGCGGGTCAGGGGAGCCACGAATTAAGGAGTACGGGGTCCGTAATTACAATGAAAACATCGTCGGCCCGGTCGTCCGGCTCTTTTTGCGGGCGGAGGCTGCGCCGAATCTATTTTGAATCCTGCTGAGTGCCAGATGACTCGATGTATGGCGCTGCCTCGTGTCGCATTCGTCTCTCCTCCGCCGGCTCGGCTCGGCTCGGCTCGGCTTCTCGTCTCTTCTGGAGCGCCGAGGAGTCGCCCAAAGGAGCGGACGGGATAAAACCTCGAGTCGTTAACTCGACACGCCGGAAACCGCGCATCTATCTTTATCTATATAGCCTCCTTTAGTCATCCCCCGACGAGAGTTGGCAGCCTGTGTCTGACTTACGGCCGAAAGACGCAAACTCGGCGCTGAGACCTGAGACCGGAGCCCCCTCTTGAAGGATTTCCTCCGATTTTTCCCAATTTTTCAATGTCTTACAAGACGATCGAACGATATTTTTTTTTTTTTATCTCAAATCATCCACACATCGGATGAAATCGCGTGACGAACTGGCGATGCCGTAACGCGAAATGCCTCCATGATTGGGAATTTCGCGGACGGTTCTTCGAGTCATTCGGTGAAAGTCGATTTTATTTATGTGGCCTCCTTTAGTCATTCCGTGATTCTATTGGACAGCTGGCTTCTGACTTACGGCTTAACGATGGGGCCCTGAAGTTAGCTCTATTTCACTTTGACTTTGCGAAATTGGCCAGACTCTTGAGTGCAAGTAGGAAGAAAGCCATCGGAATGCTTGATTTCTTTCGATATTTCCGGCGGCCGATGAATTCGACCCCGCGTATTCGTCACGAGGATTTTTTAAGTCATTGTTAAGGACTTAGAGTGGTGTAATTGATAAATGGTACGGGGAGGATAAACTGTCTTCGTAATTCATTCCAGTATGAATCGCGTAGGTGGGCGGTAAATCATTTTACAAAGTCGATTCCTCGTCCCCAGGGATACTCGAGATGAAGGATGTCACGTGTCTCAACATTTGTCGGATTAGTTCCTCGATCTCCCCCTTTTCGATCGCTCCTTAAACGGCGTGGAGGGTACGAAAGAAGGGGACGAAGAAGTGGCTTTTATCATGAACCCGGGCAAATGCCGAATTCTCGATTCCCTGAGAGGGACGAAGGCAGAGCGCAGATAAAGCGAGGAGAAAGACACCGATGGGGATCCATGGGAGCCCGATGCTTCTTCGAGGCTTCCAGTTATGATATTTATTACCCTGCAGACGAGGACGTGGCCCATGAAACGATCGAGTTGGGAAGGGAACCATATGGCAAACGACACGCTCGGGAAACGGCACGCGCTCTGAAAGCTGACGAGACGAAATAAACGCGGGAGAAAAAAGAAGGGAGGGAAAGAAAGAGTAAAGGAAAAATCGGATCACCCGAGACATCTGACTTTTTTCCAGGATGTCGAGAACCGAGCAAACAGCAGCGAAAGCCGATCTTTTATGCGACCCTCAAAAGACTACGCAATCTATAATTAAATATAACATAAAATGCTCGAATAAAGATCGAAGCGATAATACGGAAAATTTGAATTGCTGAGGTGTACTTCGAGTGATAACAAATTCAGTGAGGAAATGAAAATTAAATGATTTCAGGGGGGATATAAATTTGCAGCACTTGGTAGGAAGGAATTTCATCGCTATTTGAGAATTCCGACGACTTTCGCCATTTCCGGTTCCGAAATGGTTCCGCTCGCCTGGTTCCTCGCCTCCCATTCGCCGAGGTCATAGTTCAGTCGTATAATTTTATATTTAGTGCACTCGGGCAGAGGTGCGCTCTTCTCCCCGGTTTTACATCCCGACTCGAACCGTTCGGCGAGTTCTCGAAACTCTCGCGGGTCCGCTCGAAATATTCTCCGGATATTTCCGCGAATGCAGGTGAAACCGGAAGGGATCGCCGTAAAACGTCGGTAAAGTGATTTATCATCGTGGAATAAATAATCAACGGGTACACGAAATGATAATTAGTAGGTTCAATAAATTAGAGCACACCGGTGCACCGTACAGCGGGAACAAAACAGGCCTGACCAAAACGGGAAAATTAATGGTTGCATTAGTTAACAGTCGATGATAACGTGCATTGGCCCCTTGCCTTGCACACGGGAGGAAAAATTCCGCAATT